CAAGATTTGTTCAGAAAGTAAGAAATCTAAGTTTAAGTTACCCATTGAATAATGAAACCTAGCAAATGGAAAGTAGAAGAATTGCCAACGAAAAATAGTGCTCGCTCTTTTTGGGCATGTAAGTTACTGATGGTTTCTAGTGCATGCCGTCCTTTGTATTTCCTTAAAGGCATAGTCTTTGGTAGTTGTTTTCTCCTGTGCTATCACACAACGCAGCGTTCAAATCAACACCTAGCAAGAAGACCGTAATTACTAATAAAAAAAAAAGAAAAATCAGAAAGGAAGTACAGCTCTTTTGTAATCAGCTGAAGAAATTAATGAGATTAAGAGCAGCAAAAGCTGATTGAATTATGCAGCAACAACCGATAGAGAAGACTTATTACTAACAAACAAATGAAATACATTTGCTGCTATGCTCCGTTAAATAACATTTATTCATCGCTCAGTTGATATTAAGAACTTTCTGCAAAATGGCGAATCAAAATGAGACAATTAGATCCCATTAGGTTGGGGAAAGTCATGAACGTGTTTAGCACTTCTGCTTACACTCACTCTCACTTTCTCACTAAGGAGGTGTGAAAGTGGGTAATTACGGATATGCGAAGCTACATCACACATGTAAGCAAAACCAGCAGTTGTGTGCCTTCAAAATGTTTTCATCGGTACTGCTGAAATTGGGACAACAATTATCTTATTTGACGAATATTATCATCATTTATCAGATTATCATCTTATTTGACGAAGTTTGAAAATATAAACCTTCCACATAGTATTTTTGAGATTTTTTAAAAACTGTTGCTATAGCAGGATTACTCAAGAGTAAACAAAATTCAAAACAGGTATCCATTACAAGTTTTGCGTCTTGTCAAGATATATATATATATTTAATTATCAATTTTAGACGTGATGAAGACCTCGTTGAACGAATTCAATTTGATGTATAGTAAAGATGTTCGATTATACAATTAAATACCGTGGAGTGCATAGAACAGCTTCGCATTCAGCAAGTTTTG